CTCTGACCAGATTAAACCACTTCTGAAGGTGCAGCCTAAGGGCCTTGCCCACAGGCAAATCCAACAAGAGAGTGATCTGTACTCATTTTGTGCTAGTGAATGGCTTAGAGGGACAGTACAGTAATTGTGAATCTGGTCTGGCAACCTACAATGCAACAGATGCATGCAAAAATCCATTTCCTGTACCAGTCCCACCAGTGACTTTCCAAAGGCATTAAAAAGGCAGAAGCTTCCAGACCATGTGTGTATAAATGATTCTAGCATCTCTGTATGTTCACCTTTATCATTGGCCTTGATGGCAAAGACAAGCAGAGATACGAAACACAGGCAGCAGGCGCTCAGTAAGACTCCTCAAGATTCAGCAATTCCCTGACCAGGCAGTTTCCAAACCACCTTCCCAAGCAAAGAATTTTAAATTGCATGTGTATATATGGAATGGAAATAAAATCCTATTGCTTACTGGGCAATATCAAACCCAGCTCATGCAATGTGATTTTATRTAATAGTGATCATGTACAGGTCTTACTGCAGAAATGAAATACAGTGAATGCAAACCACAATATATAAGTTTGTATAATAACTGTTTTCTTCTGTTTTTGGAGGAAAAAAATCCAAAAGGCAGAGTGTATAATGAGAATTATTCATGCTCAGCTACTATATTCTAGTTCATGTAACATAAGAAATAGAAAAATAGAAATAGAAAAAAATAGAAAATAGAAATAGAAAAAATAGAAATAGAAAAAAATAGAAAAAAAAAAGAGGAAAGAGGAAAAAAAGGGATGTAGTTTCTTAGTAATACTATCGCACATCTATTTCCTGTTTCWAAGTTATACCCATTTCCTTCTCGCACACTTAGAAAATAAAAAGTCTGCTTCCTATAATCATTTCTGAACTCCAAAATAGCATATGAAAGACATCCAAGATTTATTCATGGGAGAAAAGGAACTTGGATGGGGATTGTCTCCATCCTGCTGTTTCCATTTACTCAAAACAGCCAAATTACTAGGTTGCACAAATTACTTCAACACTAGACTAATACGGCAACGTGACTTGGTCACATTTTGCTTAGAGTCAATACACTCCTCTCTAAGGACCAGAGCACACGAATAAAGCAACAGTACATCCTTCTCTCACAAGGCAGCAGTTCTCTACCCAACAACTTCTTACCATCTATATTTTGAATAGGTCTCTAACCCTGCAGACAAAGCCAAGTTTAAGACTCACACTCACTTCCTTGGCCATACTAATCCATTTAGTGTGCTAACTTGCTACATAAATAGTTAGCTTATACAAACCAGAGGCTTTTTTGGTCTGCCATCGAGAAATCTGGAAGAAAAAAAAATAACTGAACACACATGAACTCCCATTTCATGAACTGAAGTATTTAGTCATGCAAACTGAAGTCTAAAAATGGTGCTATGACAAACATATCATGACAGGAATAACTCATAAAACAACCAACCAAGCAAAACTCATAAACAAAACAAAAAAAGGTAGTTTGCAGCAAAAAGCTTTAAAGTGAATATGGTAAGCAGGCCACCACCAAAAAGAGAACAGGGAATTTTTCAAGTGGCGTAGCAGCATTCGAGGCCTTCAGTAATGTTTCTAATCAGGCAGAAAGCAGGAATTATTTCCCTGAACGAGTATTAGCAATGGCCTTCCATTACTCACACTAAACAGCACTTGGTGCATCTTCTTATTAGGTTTGTAATCACAGCTGAAAAATGCATCTATTTTCTCTCTAGTGTATGATTTCTTTTTGTTCTTTTGCACTCACAAAACTCAGTCAGCTATGTTTAGCATGAGGATTACCTCATCCACTGCTAAAAGCAGCAAAACTATTTTGTCTTTTCTTCTGACCAGAAAGTTGAATTTCAATTTCTCTAACCAGTCACAAGAAGCTCGTTCTACCAAACTTCTGCTAATACTTCTGAAGTACTGAAACTTAAATTCATTGTTTAGCACTTGGTATTGAAGAATCATCACCTTTTTTTTCTTCTTCATAGGACTCTCATTCTTGTATCACAGAAATACTGAAGGGTTTTTTTTTTTTTTTTTTAAAGCTAAAGTAAAAAACAAAAAAAACCACTCAGTTCCTCTAACTGGTGGAATATGTGGACCTGTATATACCACCTATATATCCAGAAGTCTATAAACATATGCCATGAAGTAATTTTCCTTCCCTTTTAAAATACTTGTTACTACTTATTCAATTCTACTATACACCTCTCTCAAAACGACCAGATTTAAAAAAAAACACATACAATTCCTCAGTTAAAGGCAGACTGAGAATTAAGACAGAAAAATCTGAAGGGGAAAAAAAAAAACCCCGCAGGGAAAGCTTCTGCTACAACACACAGTTGTAGATACCTGCATCAGATGTCACAGAAAACTTTTTACATTTTATCTATGGAAGTAGTATAGGCTGCCTAAGATCTCATATTGTTCACAGAATCTAATTTAGTAAACTCGTAACAGAAGGTGATGCATATTTTCAGAAAGATTTAAAATAGTCTTTGGATGAGAACAGAATGGCCTTTCACTCTCTTGACTGTGGAAATGAATGTTCTCAGAGAAGCTCTGAAAGGTGATGTGTAGTCCAAAACTACCTAAGAAAGATATGCATAGAAGATACACGATACACCATCAGATTCTAGCCTGAATCTCCCATCATAGCCAGAGAGGTTCAAAGGGCAAATTCATTTGCTTCACTATTAAATTCACACTTGAAGTAATTCTTAACATGTTAAAAAAACACGATAAATCTTCAGAAAGCTGTGACCATTTGGCTGTGTAATAGCAGCAGAGTACATGAACAGCTAAGTAATGATACTGTTGCTAAAGCACATCCCAATTTTTAGCATATGCACCATGCCTTTTGAATTTATTTATTTTTCGATTGTGCAATCTCCTTAACTTGTTCAGGGAGTTTGACAACAGCTACACAATCACTCCCACTTTGTCAGTATCATTAATGGGAGCAACTCCTGCAATGGGAGCAACAGGTATTAGAACAAGTATGCAACATCTCTTGTGTAGGTAACGGTCTCTTTCCTAATTTCAAGTGTACTTAAAGCTCTGTAGAATATGTCAATTACCAGTCAGATATTGTTTCTTCTTGTAAGTGCCACAAACGTCCATGTGATCATGTAGGTAGATAATAATCATATGTTATCACCCACAACTCATGAGTAAGCACAGTAATTACAATTTAAAAAACAACTACACAAAGAACTCTGAAATTGCTGATTATTTTCTGCTGTTTGGGAATAATCACACTTCTCTAAATCTGATACCTTTCTGAATAAAAAGAACTACAATACTTAATAAGATAATAAAATAATGTAACTGACATCACCAATCATTATCCGGTATCTGGCTATGCTATTTTGAAGAGATTGAGTGTGCTCAATCTCCAAATACAAGCTGCTGAATCACAGAAATACTCTTTTGTATTCTAGGTCTACCACAGTGACTATTAATTAAATTGCTAGTAGAGGTACTCAAGAACAGTCCTCAGTTGTTCTTACTAGAAGGCAGGACAATGGGCTGACACACACAAATTTGAAAACAGTACCTTAAAGACTGCAAAAGTTAATAGTGCATAATTCAAACAAGTGGGTTTTTTTTCCCTCAAGGTGCATTCAGAAAACATAACACTGGAACAGAGAGAACACAGAGGTAGAACCAGCTTGGGTAGTTTTAGCCCAGCTACTGTTAAGGAGATCCCAGCTGAGTATAAACTGTGCAAACGGGAGCAAACTCACAAAATCAAGCATGCCTGAAGAACAAGAGCTTAATCTGGAATGTGTAATATTCTTCTTGGGAAGAAGTGACACAATGCTATTTTAACAGAAGGAACAAAGGGAAGGGAAAAAGAATAAATCTTTTACCATATGAAGAATGCTTTTAAAGTATTTTCAGTATGACTTTTATTATACAGGTGGAAAATAAATATTAGTTTTACTAGTAACAAAAGAAAAAAACAGAGTAGTACAACAGTCTAATATAAAGTGCTTAGAAGGGAGATGCAGCCAGGTCCTTACAGGTAAATGGTGAAAGGATGAAAGGTAATGGACACAAGTAGCAGCAAAGAAAATTCCAACTACATACTTGAAGCATTCCCTTTCCTTTCCCCAGCTGCCCAACATGTGGCTAGTCAAACACTAGAACAGATGGCCTGAGACTATCCAATGTGGAAGACAGCCAAAATTCACCTGGGCACAACCCTGAACAACCCAATCCAACTTTGAAGTTGCCCCTTCTCCAAGTGCAACAGATGAACTCCAGGGATAACTTCCCCAAGTTAATCTGAATGCTAATAAAAAAATCTTTTACCTCAAATAGGCAGTGCAGAAGACTAAATACGTGTTCTACACTTACCACAGTGATTCAGTTCTGCACAGTTCCTTCAATTTTTAAAAAGCAAAATACGTAGATAAATATGATGAAGTATAATTAAATCAGTACTTTTCTGCATCTATGTATTACGGTACCTATCTATATGTTCTTAATCTTGCTATTTCAACTACAACCAAATCTACAGTTTTTAGAAATGACAAGTCCTATACAAAATAAAACAGAGACCCAAATTTTAACTGAATCATATATTACACAGGAACATTTTGGAATCAGAATATTCATCAGTGAATCTTAGGTTCAAGTTTATATTTTTGCAAGTACATAAAACCTTCCCACAGCTAACAAGTACATATTCACTTCTTAAGAAGTGACTATGTATGTGTTTCTGGATACATAAACATACAGAAGGGTTACAAACCGCTTTCTCCATGTAATAAAAAGGAAATCTGAAAGTAAAAAATCCTTACTGAGACTCTGTTTTTCCCCACTCACCTTGTAGAATGCTTATAAATAATGTAATGTTCTATAGCTAGCAAAGTACTTAAAAATGATTGCCTTTGCATAATTAAACCAGCACATCACTTCATAAGAAAGCTTTCATCCTCATTAGAAATGCAACACATTCATAAGTGAATTTCTACTTTTTAATCACTTTCAATTTCTTTTTTTTTTCTCTCTATGCTTGCTTCTTATGTTTTTGAGTATCACCTGGAAAGAGAAACAAATTAATTAGTATTCATATTTCATTTCTGGTCTGTATTCTGGTTTATATTCTTTTCATCACAGCTTTATTATCCTGCAGTGTTATTCTAAGCTGTCWAATGTCACCTCAGGACTATTACGCCTATTCTCTCATTTGAGCCAAATATGGTTTTATTCTGGATGTCACAGATGTTAATTCCACTATAATACCAACATTTGCTTATCAAGTTCAGTTCCTCAAAGTATCTGTACTGCTCCACAGACATATTGAAGATGACTAAAACAGAGATATAAAGACTAAAACAGCCACCTTTGCTGTTTACATGCTATAGACTTACCCCATAATAAAGCTGTAAGCTTCTCACCAAGGAAATAAAACGCTAACAGCTCAAGGTAGGAAGTGACAAAAAGCAACATCCTTCCAGCTATGTCTAGGGCTTCTAAAATTGGGTACACCCAAATGCCTGAGGCGTAATTTACCCACAGCATCCTATGAACAAAGAAAAACAAAGTCTTAAACGTGAATTAGCCATGTCTACATTTTTTTTCTTTAATACAGACTATCTTGTTTATTTCTCAAGCCACTTAAATCCCTCAATCCTAAGTTCTCAAGAAAATTGGTTACAGAAATACATCACTAACTACATCTCAAAGCTATGTGATTTTAAGGACTTCCAATTAAAATATCTTGGCTTGAGCATCTCTTTCTACAAAAGTATCTCTTTCTACAGCTGCCGCTTGTATCTTTGATATATGAAGATGGGAGACCACCACATCTTGAGAAATGTAATCAATTAAAGATACTGACTCGGACAACAGAATCCTTGAGCTTGATTTGGATGGTAAGCAGAAAGTATCAATATATATAAAATGGGTAGCTAGGTGAAAAAAAATCTTATATTAATATGTTATAAAAATAAAATTGCATTTTTTTTCCTGAAAATTTCATTTTTAAAATGTTTTCTAGTCCCGCTTAGACACATATTTCTTGCAAGGATTATCTCTTAGGTACCAGATATTTAACAGAATGTCCCAAAATAAAACCCAAGAAGACTACAGCTTCATATTATTAACTCATTTCTGCTTAACATGATTCTTAGGAGGAAGAGAATTATTTTACAAAAATACATTGCTGAGGAACAAGGAAGGCCTACCATATAAGATATGAAGAACCAAAGATGCTAACTCCTATTACTCCATTCAGTTTACCAGGATATTTATGTGGACATGCTATCAGCTCTACAAAAAGTAATGGCAGTATGGTTGTATGCTAAAAATAAAAACAAATACATAAGTTTAAGATGGAACATGTGATTGGTTCCTACAAAATGAACCAAATGAAAACTATTGATGTGTAGTTGTGATAGAAGTATGTTCTTTCCCAGTATTCTCTCGTCAACACTATAATCTAATAGATTTTGTAAAATCTCCTTTTATGTAAAAATAATATTTATGTTTAAGAAAACAAACCCAAGAAGATGCCATCAAAAATAGTTTAGCTGTAGAAAATACCTGAATCTGCACTGTACTCTACCTCTATCTGACACTGCTGTAGAGAAAAAAAAAACTTTAATATAGTTTAACTGTGCTATATTATATTACTTAAAATTAAAGAGTAAGTGGGGAAACAATTTTTTTCCAAAGGCCTGAGAAAGAATTTAAAACTCCAGAACTGTTTTGATAAAAAGCCAAATGCACTTCACTGGTTTGCATAAGACTGTTAGATACAGAATAAAAAAATCAAGCAAAGTTTGTGGCATAACTTAAAAAATATGTATGAACTATTAAAATACAGTTAAAGAATAGTACTGTAGAAGTACTACAGAACTGTATAGAACCGTATAACCATACACTATTTTTTCCTACATTTGCCAGTTCTGAGGATGGAACAGTGAAATAGTGCACAAGACTGTTCTTAATAGAAAGTTTAATCACAGAATTGGGACTTTTCTGTTCTTTCTCCTTCCCACACCCTATTACTCTTTTTACTTATGCAGCTTCATTAGTGTGGTAAATTTTGGATAGAGTACACACTCAGGAGACCACAGCCTTTTCATCATCCTATTACCTACACTTACAGCTGTGATGAAGCAAAGATGCATAATAAGGTGTCTGCAACTTAGTTTCAGCAAAACCAGTAATTAAAAGAATAAATAAAATATATAACTGAAAAAAAAGGTTAAATCCAAATTGCTGAGAAAGCATCAGACTTACCATAGTATGATTAAGCCAACTTGAATTAACCTCATCCAGCTCCTCAGGATATATAAGTTCTCTGTTATATGCATATAGAGTCCAAAACATAACAGCAACAAACTGAAGTTAAAATTATAAAGAAATTACATTTGCACAGGAATATTAACAAAGACTAATACACTTATACCATTAAAATGTAACTTTTCTTATATAGGAGTTGTAGAGTATACATTAAATTATTTTATTACTGCCTGCATCAATTTATTTTCTTCCTCTGAACTTGACTTTAGAATCATTTAAGAACAACTTTGATTTATGGTATAAATAATTTTTTTTCTCAATTCTATTATACTAGGTCAGTAGGAAATGCACTGTTGTCAGCAAGTTCATGACTAATAATACATCAAAACTAAAGTTCAAGGTTCTTGGTTAGTGTCCATGCATGGTTTCATGCTAAGAAATAAAACTCTCTCATCAATTTTCTATTGCTGCCCAAACCAAATATGTATCACTTCTCAGAAATACATAAACAGTGTAAATCAATAATTATTACAAATCAAAGTCTGTAGAAAGGCAAGATGAAGAGCATGAGAGCAACAGCAGCTTTTCTTTTTATTCTGAATTTCAACTATCAAAAATATGCTTATTATATATATATCTTCTGACTAAACAAGCTCCCAAATGTACAGTGGTATGAGTATCATAGGAACAGCAAAAAACAAATACTATCTGAACAGCTGAACACAGACTGATGCTGCCAAACACATCAGCAGCAGGAAAGGCAAGTTCTAAGTAAATGAATTAGAAAAAAGGGCCGCACAAAGCTTCACCGAACACAGAACTCTGAAAAATCCCTGGGTGCAGAAACAACCAAACTTTTTTCATTCAGTTGTCTAGAAAGCAGTGCTGTAACTATCTGCAAGGCAGCTCCTTCCTGAGAAAAGAGATGTTGTATATTCTCGTCAGATCAATAATTATTCATGTGATTATTTCTTTTCATGAAGGTCATGAACATCAAAAACAATAGAAACAGTAGAAATATAAAACAATAGAACAGTAGAAATATGACTTACATGTAGAATCTTTTTTGTGCTCACTTAGAAAACACTTTTCCATCAGACAAAAAACTTACATCATCTATTTGTTTTTTTTTAGAAAGGCTTGTATTTAGAGTAAGGTATATAGTGTGTTTTTTAATTATTAGTCATTTTATTATCTCCTAGAGAATTTAGTCAGTACAGACAAGTATTGCAAAAACTGCAGTACTAAAAAAAAAAAAAAAAAATCAGAGAATCTATTTTCTGAAATACACCGATGGAAAGAAACAACTAAACTTAAAATTTTTGAAAAAGGAATAAAACAGGATCGTATCTGTCTTAACCTCTGTTAAGTTAAACTGAGCCTACCAATTTATTCTGGTATTTTCAGTAGGTGTTTGAGAAAGTAGTGAGGGCTCTTGACAGTTTACAGTGGCTACTTACTAAACCAACAGGGAATACTAGCACCGAGAAGATGAAGTCTTTCACAGGTAACAATCTGGATGATACACTCCTCTTTCTGGCAGTCGTGAATATAAGTATAAAATCAATTATGACACATATTCCAAACAATAAAGTTTGCAGAATCTAAACAGTTAAAGAAAATGTTAAGAGAAAAAAAAGGCTTTTTTAGTACTCTATTTTTGCTATAGTCCTCCAATTTTTCAAGCAGTAAATTTGAACACTGGCATTCTTTTTCATTTGCTTTAAACCTTCATCACCCATTTACAGATTTAGGCTGTAAATATTTATAATACTTTAATATTTAGTAGTATTACAGTGGTCATAAATATTTTGAAGGAAAAAAATAATCCATTTTTGTGCTGACACCTTAACTGGCTCATTACACCACATGAACATTTAACAGCAACAGGTTTTCCGCTGACTCAAAGGGAGTTTATTACAGAGCTTAGCAACAGCCTACGAGTTCGAGCAGCAGAACTAAGGAGCTGTCAGGGCTAACTGCACCGTCAGACTACGGATATTCAAACACTCAAAAGTGCCTGACCGTACGAGCTGCTCGGGCCTGAAAAGCTCAGCAGCAGCCCTGAAGCAGCAGAGCGAAGTCAGGGATTTAATCCCAGCTCTGTAGGTGGAAACTTTCCCATTGGCCTATGCCAATTTCCAGTTCCATCCTGATTTCCCACCACAACATACCTCCTGCATGACCCTCCGTCAGGACATGTCTTTTGCCCAGCACAAAAAACAAAGTTTTTCTTCATTAGTTTTCTTAAGAAGCGTACACTCCATTTGGAGGATAAACTGAGCAGCACCCCACTATGAAGACCCTGTCCGAGAGTCAGGAAAGCGCTGGGAAGGAGCCCGAGCTGCCCGATGCCCTCACGGCTCCCTTCTCAGGTTAGTGCATCTCCCCTTACATTCTCTCCTCCCCACTCAATCGAGGACATCCTCACTTCAGTTCAAGCCTCTTCAGTGTTGCACTTAGCTGGGCCACACACAACTCGCACTAACCATTTTCCCTCCCGATGGCTGCTCACCCCGCACCTGGTTGATGAAGGTCAGGTATTTCCAACGTCCACCGTAGGTGTCATCGCTATCCCTGCGTGCTGAATTAGGCAGCCCCACATTCTGGCAGAGGGAAAAAAGAGCCCACAGGAAGCAGCACACGTGCAGCACCACGAGGGGCCGCGGGCTCCGCAGGGCCTCCGCCCCGTCCCGCAAGCCTCGACGCTGCATCGCCGCCTCGCGACCCGCAGCGTCCCCGGCTCGCAGCGTCCCGCGGCCAACGGCCACGCGCCCCGACCAACGGTCACCTCCAGCGCGCGCGCCCCGGCCAACGGCCGCCTGGGCTCCCAGAGCGGCGCGCGGCCGCACGGGCTGCGCATGCGCGCTCCGCCTCTGCCGCGGTCCGCGCGGTGAGGGCGCGCGGCGGCCGCGCCGCCATTTTGCGTGTTCCGTCGATGCGAGGCGCTAGCGGGGAGGTCGCGCCCTAGCGAGGCGCTGCCCCGGCCGGCAGCGGCCTCATGGGGAATGAGGTTTTGCAGCGGCCCTGGAAAATAGTGTTCTCACCCACTGGCAAGTGCTCCTGGCAGGGCTGAAGCACGTGGYGTTTGCCTCCAGGAAGCACATGGACACCTAGTATTTTCTCCCATTGCAATGGGAATGGGAGAAATGCACAGCATTGCGATGTGCAGCATGGAACTCCTTGTTTCATAGCTTTCATAAGAGTTGTAGTATTGATAATCAAGTTATAGACAATCTAGTTAGAGCATGCAAAATTAAACCTTTTGATTTTTATTCTAAACACCAGCATGGTGATGCTACATTGAACCTCGGCACTCTGTGTTAAGTGGCAAGATTTACCACTGAAGGCTTTRCAAAATTCCATAGCCTCAATGGTGCAATATAAATAGGTTTTTTTGTTTGTTTGTTTTTCATTTTGTAATGTTACAGACTATAGGGAAATAAACTGTTGTTCTGTAAAGAGATTGATGAGGAGAGATAAAAACCTTTGCAAATTGTAGCAATTTGGAGTGGTAGGTTGTTATTGAAAGGACAGTGGGATTTTTCATACACATTCTGTATTTTTTATTAGAATTAATCCTGACACGTCAGTTTTATAATGGATCCTTACAAATACAATAATTGAAATATGTAACCTGCGGACAGCTGTTAAGATGAATGTTTCCATAACAACCCCCAGCTCCTTCGGGTCCACAATGACACAGGATACTGTTTCTATGGTAATGGAATGCCTTAGTCACAGGCAAGCAGGGAAATCCATTATGAGAACTAGCAACTCCTGTTAGATTAAAGGGAGTTTCTTGCTTGCATTTACCTGTGTCTTTCACTTGTACTTTCCTCTTACACCCGGGTTGCAAACTTTTTAGGTTGGAGAGACCCCCTTTAGTTTAGTTCCTGAAGAAACTGAAGCTATGTAGCCACACTGTCCATCCACCTAACTTTTGAATCAAATCAGACTGTGGGGCTTCAAAGAGGCTTCAAAGATAAGYCTCAGGTTCCACGGAAATCAGAAGACAGAGAAAGAAGAGAAATGCCAAGTAGTAGCATCACAGGGAGAAAGTCCACACTGAATTCAGTTCCTGTTTGTTTGGGTTGCTGCTTGGCCAGGCAGCCACAAGAATGCTAGTCCTTTTATACCTTGAATGTAAGACAGATAAAACCTCTTCTACCASGAGTCAGCTTTTGTGTTAGTCAGCCTTAAAGAGAATAGTACAATCACATTACCATTTTAAACTAACACAGAACATTAGCTCCACGTGTAATGCTAAAGTAGACTGGATTTGATTCATGCACAGATGTTGCAGAGAAGGATTCTTTGTGCTTTACTCCATGTTCCTGCATGTTGAGTATGCTAGACATTTGCAAAGGCCCTGCAAGTTATTCATCTGCAGTCAAGTTTACCAAGTATCAGTAATATCTTAAAAGGTAGAGCTAACACTTAGCAGATTCACAACAGAGCACATCTGCACAGCCTCCCATCTGAAATTAAAACTAATACAGTTAAGAACTCTGCTGTCACATTTCATTTTGCTTATTAAAAGATTCTTTAGTAACTCGTAACAGAAAAAAAAAGAACATGAGAAATTATGTCCACAGTTTTGCACATGCGGTATTATGGACAGAAAGTTGTAATTAAATATAACATCAGATTATCAGATTGCCCATTCCTGTAAGCACTCAATGACTAAGCTGAAGTGCCATGAGTACAGTCTGAGTCAGGGTGAAGTGAGTGGTTAGTCATTGAAGAATTTTTTCAGCCTGTACACAGTATTTGAGGGCAAGAGATATCAAACATGAATAGGTAAAAAACTGCTGATACAGTTTTCATGTCTGCTTTTGAAAATCAGAACCATTAATGGTGCCAATACATTACAAGAAAGACATGTTAGTCCAATTACTGCTATTTTAAAGTACCAAGATTCCTTTGTAGCTATGGAAACAAAAATGCAGACATTAATGAGCAAGGTGTGTGTGTGGGGGGGTGACTGGTGTTTCCGTGACAACAGATAAAAGCGTAGCTCCATGCAGCCCAAAGGAGAGAATAATAGAAATACCTTTTACCATCAGATAGAACTGAAACAGAAGCCTAGTGCCTGGCCAAATTTCTAACACTGAAACTAGCCAATAGCATAAGGCATTCTGATATTGATTATCCTCAAGAGGATAAGAATGAAAATGACATGTTAAAGCTTGTGATGATGAGGACTGGAGTGCTCGTGTGGCGYATGTGTAATAGATGAGTGCTGTGTGTAGCATGCTGAAAACTTCTCTGACAACAGACCCAAGACACAAGGGATGGGTCCCCATCCATACACTGCTCCATGTGCTTTGCAATGTGAATGTGTCTAATACTCTAAAGAAAGCTATGGTCAGAACCAAGAGTTGACTGGAAAGCAGCAGTTGTTCCCTGGAGTGAATCACAAAGTCTCAGCTTCTCACAAAATCCAAAAATGTTTTTTATGAAAGGTACCTAAAATTGTAGACAGAAAAGAAAAAAAAAAAAAAAAGAAAGCAGGTAAACAAGAGCACTTCAGTAAGATTATAGGGCTATTCTTTAGTGGCTACCATGCAGCACTATAGAACAATGATCTTTTAAAACAAATTTATTAAATTAATAAATAGAAGAGTTAAATTGCAAATGCTACATAGGTAATTTGGAAGAACTGAATCTTCAAAAAGATGTCTTCCTTTGAATCTGTCCAGCTTATGGTATCAAGAGCATCACTTCATAGTCAAAGTATATCAGTTCAAAATCCTATTTTTTTTTGTGTCTACAGCAATAAAAAGCTGGATACTAAGCTATAAAAATGCTGGGTTTCCTTGACAACAAGTTGAGAAAAAACACAGCAGCATAAAAACTTGTGGAGAAAATAAAGATGTAGTTGCCTGATTGATGTGGAACATGACCATGAAGCTTTTGATGTGTTTACCTATGTGACTTGTAGAGGTGTGCGGTCACAGTAATGGGAATCCCGTATTTCTAAATTTCTAGTTACTGATGTTTCATTTTACTGTTTTTGACATTGATCCACAGCTTGATTAGAGTGATGAATGACCCTCTCAAAATTTGGTCTCATTTCCTGTAAAGTGTGTTTATATGCTGGATTTTAGAAGACTTCTGAATATTATCAGAAGTTATGTTTTTCCATGACAAATAAGAAACAGATGGAAAAAAACAGAATGGCTGTACTCTAGTTTATCTATGTGTAAAAGACTAACCGACTAGCTGACTTTTGAGTTAAAGCAACTGCTCCTTTAAAAGCTGTGTTTTTTCTTTATGTTATCGCATTTAAATGCATTGTAATTGTAATTACTCATATTTATGGTAAGGTATTGTATGATAGAGTGTGATATCCCTGAAAATACCATAGCTTATTATTCCAGCAGTCTAAACGATCTGGAAATATCATTCCTATCCCTCCTGAGAAATGTTTATTTTGTAGAAGAGGCAGCACAGGGACCTCCATTTTTACCCTTTCAGCTGTCAGCAAAAGAACGACTTGAGCGAGGAGGAATAATTGGAGCATTCTGCATTACCACCCTATCTCCCAGTACCCCACCAGCAAAGCCAGACTCAACCATCTGCTTTTTCTCACAGTTGTCTTTAAGTTTTTCTCTTGAGTCATGGACTATCCTTGTGAAGTAAGGCATAAAACAGTTCTTCACCAGACCTGCTCATGCTGAAATAATAATAATTAAACAAATCAATCCAGTATGATGATTCAGTCTATATATTTAGAGCTTTACCTAAAATTTGAGGGAAATATCTGTGGACTTGGGCATTGGTTCAAGGCTATAAGCCAGCTTTTTTTTGTTGTTGTTTTTTTCTTCTTTGGGTGAGTGTCTACATGCAACTCCACTGTTGGGGTATAAAAAACACCCTGAGCTCTTTCAACCAGAGTTCAGTTAGTGAAATGCTCAGGCTGGATGCACAGCCAGCTGAACCTTTTCATTTTGGTGATTGCACTTTCTCAGCAGCACTTGACTCTTTTCCCTATGGGGTCCATTACTTTAGCCATATGTTTTATTTTTTTTTCATTGTACTGGCTTTTCTTTGGCTAGTAGACCACATATGCTTCTAATGAGGCAGTGTCTCCCTTCTGCTGCCCCAGCACATTTTTCTCTTTTCTTTCTTTCTTCCTTTCTTTCTTTCCTGACCAATATGTGAGGATTATGCTCCTCTTTAGGATGGCTGCCCTTGCTCTCTAAGCAAACTGTACAAAAGTGCCAAAAAGTGCCATAGGAATCTTAGTAGCAGGAAGCACACACACTGTACTGATAAAAGGGTAATATTTTGGTCTATAGTTTTCTTGAATGCCTTCATTCCTCCAACTTTGATTATCTGTTGTTATATTCAAACTCTTCCAAATTTTAAATATTCCCTTTAAGGCAGTCTGTAAGCTTACAGAGCTGTGATCTGTGGGAAGACATATTACATTAAATATCACAGTGCAAATGCGTCTTAGGTCAAATGAAAGCTGTGCAGGCAACCATRATTTCTGTATGTTTAAACTTAACCGTCACTTTGTACCTTAACATTCTTCATGATTATGAAAGTTTTATTTCTTGTGATTTGGAGAAGGGAAAATAGTGATCATGGTTTGCGATTCCTGCACAGATTAACATTTGGCCGTTTAAATCTACAAAAGAAACATGGCTGCTTATCATAATTAACCAACAGCAATACTATCTCATAATCCTTTATGTGGATT